CTTAAAGAAGACCTAGTCTATATTTTGGCCATTTTTGTTGGCTAGCACTGTAACCTAGCGATTCCCACACACTGCCTTGAGAATTGGGGTTCATCTGCGGAAATGAAATAAAAACAACACCGAGGATCACGACAGTAAACATCTTTAATTTATCCTGAGATTACATTATTGTCACTTTGGAGATACTAAAAGGTCCTTTTTCTTTTCAAAAGATTAGTAATGTTATTTTAAAGTACTCTTACATTAAAATGTCGTTAACATGCATATGTCAGTTTCCCATGAACTTTTAAAAAATCTCAGCCTTAAAAATCTAGCAGGCTCTTCATTTCTCCAATCTGGCTGTAGTGCAAGTCAGACTTTCTTGGAGGCCATAGGTGCAGGATCTTTAAATAAGACAGAGCAATCACTATCCGTGTGTGTGTGTGTGTGTGTGTGTGTGTGTGTGGCAGGGGTATCAGGGATGGAACCCCTGGCCTCTGCAATGAATTACGTCCCTGACTCATTTTTGTTTCTTCATATTTTGAGGCAGACTCTTCCTGGACTGCTAAGCTGCCCGGGCTGGACACATGGGTGCGAGTCCTGCTGACTTCGCCTTCCAGAGCACTGTGATCACAGGTGTGCCCCGCCACGCCAGGCTACTCCTTGTTCTTAATAAAAACGGGAAGAGCTGATGAAGGGCTGGGTGCCGCCCTCCGTATCACACACTGTGCATGTCCACAGCAGCATTCCATGGCTGTCCTCACGCTCACCCCTGGGCATTGCTAGAGGCCGGGCAGAGAACAGAGGAGAATTTTGTACACAAAGAAAAAAAAAAGCGCTAAGTCAATGTGGACTTGTGAGTGTCCTCTCTTTACTCTCTTTGCCAAGTTCCCATAAAAGTATAAAATGGGAGCAAAGAAAATGTAAGAATTCCTAACCAATAATAATAATAATAATAATAATAATAATAATAATACGCTGGTTAGCCAAACTGGAAGCTTTCTTCATTTACGCTATACTTTTGTAAACAGGAGTCATTTTTCTCTGATTAGGCATGTGATAAATGCTCCCCCATAGCACTCAGGATTAAACCCAGTGCATTCACCTGTATCCCCAACCCTCTATAAATTAATTTATTGTTCTCATTTTGGGAGGGTCTGGCTAACTTCCTAAGCTGCCCCAGCTGGATTCCAACTTGCTGTCCTCCTGCCTCAGCCTCCCAGAGCACTGGGATTGTGGGTGTGGGCCTTGCTAAGGGCCTCTGGACAGTTAGTCTCTCCCTACGTCCAGAGGCTGGACTCTGGAGTTTCACCCTGTACCTCCCAGCAGAAACGGCTGCTTCTGACGCACAATCCTGCTGTTGTCTCATAACTCTTAGAAGAAGAAATGGGAGAGCTGTGGCTGCGACTTAGCTCAGCTGGGGCAGAGGACACAGTCTAAGGGTGAAAACAACAAGAGTCACCTCTGTCCCTCGTGCCCTTGTTGGGAGGAGTGCCCCCTAGTGGGGACAGTTTGAGTCTCACGTTGAAGAGGAAAGTAATCAGTAATGATTCAATCATTCAGTTCCCTGCAGGTGCAACAATTTATTACGTTTAAATATCTCTTTGCCTCTCTGGGCCCCACATTCTGCCCCTGGGACCCTTTGATTCCCTGATCTAGCACTGCTGAGCTTTCTCAGACGCCACACAGTTGGAGGAAAT